GACCAAGTAGGCTTCATCCCCAGGATGCAGGGCTGGTTCAACATTTGCAAGACCATAAACATAATTAAATGCATCAACAGATGTAAAAACAAAACCCACATGATTATATCATTAGATGTGGAAAAAGCCTTTGACAAAATTCAGCACCCATACTTGATAAAAACCCTCAAACATCTAGGCATAGATGGAACGTACCTCAAAATAGTAAGAGCCATCTACGAGAAACCACAGCCAACATACTGCTAAACAGACAGAACTTGGAAGCTTTTTCCTTGAAAACCAGAACAAGACATGGATACCCACTTTCACCCCTCCTTTTCAATATAGTTTTGAAAGTCTAGCTAGAGCAGTCAGACAAGAGAAGGGGATCAGGAGTATCCAAATAGGAAACGAGGAAGTCAAGTTATCCCTCTTTGCAGACGACATGATTCTATACCTTGAAAACCTAAGAGAATCTGTCAAAAACCTCCTTGCACTGATAAAGGACTTTGGCAAAGTCACAGTGTATAAAATAAATGTGCAAAAGACAGTCACATTTCTATATACCAACAATAAACAAAAACCCAAATAAAAAGCACAATCCCATTCACAATAGCCACACAAAAAAATGAAATATCTTGGCATCTTCCTAACCAGAGACCTGAAAGTTCTTTACAATGAAAACCACAAAACACTGCTCAAAGAAATCAAAGATGATACAAACAAATGGAAAAATATTCCATGCTCATGGATTGGAAGAATCAACATTTTTAAGATGCCCATCTACCCAAGGTAATCTACAGGTTTGATGCAATACCCAATAAATTACCATCAGTATTCTTCTCAGACCTGGAAACAACAATACAGGAATTCATATGGAAACATAAATGACCTTGAATAGTCAAAACAATCCTCAGCAAAACAAAACAAAACACAAAAAAACAGGAGGTATCATTGACTTTCAAAGCTACAGTAATCAAAACATCCTTATATTGGTACACGGATAAGCATATAGACCAACAAAACAGGATAGAGATTCCAGAAGCAAACCTCAATTTCTCAACCAACTCATCTTTGACAAAGCCTTCACCAACAACCACTGGGGAGAGGAGAACCTATTCAGTAAACGGTGCTGAGAAAACTGACTGACCACATGCAGACGATTGAACACCATACACAAAAATCACCATACACAAAAATCAACTCTAATTGGATCAAAGACCTAAACATAAAACCTAAACATAAAAACTCCTCTATAGCCTCAGTATCAACCTTAGAAAAATGCAGGTTCTTATGAATGACACTCTTATGAAAATTGGAACTGGCAACCAATTCCTGTTCAAAACCCCAAGTGCTCATGCCATAAGAGATAAGATAGACAAGTGGGACTTCATCAAACTGACAAGTTTCTGTATATTATATATATATAATGTTTATCTATTTCATAAATCAGGTTAAATAAAGCTGCAAAAATAAGCTAACCCATGAATTTTAAGCAATTATAAACTAGATAAAATGAAAAAATAATAAAGAACCATAATATCTCAAAAGTTGATATAATAAAGAAAAAATATCAATTATGCTACCTGTTATTCAGTTTTGCTGCCACCGTGAATTGTTGACTTCCATTCCTTGATGATTCTATCTCTGGGCTTACTTTCACCAACACTCCTCCTCTCATGATTCTTAGTGAATTCAATATCCACACAGATGGTTCTCGTAGTATCCTTGCCTGACAATTATTTGACCCCCTTTCTCATAATGATCTTGACTGATATATTTCAGCCACAAATTCCCATGGCTGTCCCTTGGAAATTGCAATTACTAACACCTAACTCCTCTATAGCCTCAGTATCAAACATCCTCCTCCCTCTCCTGCATTAACAATTGTTTCTCTCTACTGTATAACTCCCACCAACATGCACATGTGATATAACCTCCAATCTTAAAAAATGAATTCCAATCTAGACTCACTTTCCTCTCCAGCTGTTATCCACTTCTATCTTTCTGTTTACAGCAAAGCTGTCCTTGTTGCTTCCAATCTCCCTCCCCCACTATCTCTTAAACCCATCCAAATCAAGCTCTTACCCTGACCACCCAACTGGAGCAGCTCTTGTCAAAGTCACCAGTGAGTTCCACTTTGCTACACCAATAATTAGTTCTCAGTCCTTGGTCCCACCGGATCTTTCAATTGCATTTGATATGGTTGACACTCTCTCCTTGATGAATTTACTGTGATGGAAAACTATAAGAGAAGCATGTTTTGAGGGGAATATCTGGAGCTCAGTTTTGTGATGTGAGGTCCTCATTCACTTAGGATAATTTGTGCCGTGAGGGGAACAAAGATCACTGAAAACCAATCCACATTTTAGAAAGGGAAAACATTGCATAGAAATAATGTAAGGAGGGTGAATTTGGAAGCTTATCTTCTAATTGAAACCAATAATTATTCACATATGGAATTTTAAGAGATTTTCTGAATATATGTTGTTTCAAAGTATTTGGAATCCCTGGCAAGATGTTCCCAGCAATATTATCTCAAAGATGAAAGGTAGTACAGAATGTCCAGTTCCATGTCAGTGGATGACCCCTCAATATCAGCCCGACACTTCTTAGACATTTGCAGAGATGCTTATATGTACACAAAGGGCTTCCAGTGCTGGACTCACTTCTTGGTCCCAAGTTTGACCCATCTTCTACCTCCAAAAATGTTCTTTTATTTTCATTATTTCAGATCTTTGACTTTTCTCTCACTGAAAAGGAAATGAAGGATATCGAAGCCTTGAATAAAAATATCCGCTTCGTGGAACTGCTCATGTAAGTTCTGGAGATCATTAAGCAGATACTGGCTAGTGGTATTGGACTGTCAAGCATCATTGGAGCTCATATGAACTCTGACCTTTGTCCATAGGTAGCACAAGGACAAAGCATGGAAGGCAACATGTTCAGAATATCAGCATGCCTGGGGGATATACATCTACTATTGACAAGGAGAGTCCTAGCATTTATGACATTCCATGACAATCCAGAGCATGGCATGCTACAGAACCAGAGGAGAATTAATTTATAATGTACATATGCTAAAACAACAGCAGCACACATGTTGAAACAGCATATTTATTTCTTTTTAAAAATCACAAATAAAGCAAAATTATTTGGAAAGAGGCATGATAATGTAGTAGAAAGAACACCAAATTGGGAACCAAGAATCTAGAGTTTTAGTAAATATTTTCTTGCCTATTAAGATTTTAGCTTCTGGCTGGGTGCGTTTGCTCAAACCCGTAATCCCAGCACTTTGGGAGGCCGAAACAAGAGGATTGTCTAAGTCCAGGGGTTCAAGACCAACCTGGGCAACTTGGTGAGACCCTGTCTCTACAATAAAAAAAAAATTAGCCAGGCATGGTGGCACATGCCTATAGTTCCAACTACTTGGAAGGCTAAGGTAGAAGAATCGCCTGAGCTCAGCAGGTTGAGGCTGTTGTGACCGTGAGCGTGCCACTGCCCTCCAGCCTGGGCGACAGAGTAAGACCCCAACTCAAAAAAAAAAAAAAAAAAAAGATCTGAGCTTCTTAGTTCCACCTGTTAGCTGCTTCCCACAAGCAAAATTCCTTACATTCCTAAAAAATATTGCCCAGTTCAGCTAATCATCTGAAGTAATTCCTTTATTTTCTAAACATTTCTTTAAAATTAAAAAATAACATGGTTTATACACACACACACACACACACACACACACACACATACACACATGCATATATGTACTTGTATACACACATATGCATTTTTTTCTTCTTAATCATTCTCCATTCATCTTTCCAGTTTTTCACATCACCTAGATTGTCGTCTTCTTTTTTCAATCTTCTAAGGGAACATTTTCTAAACATTCTGAGATGATTCCTACAGTTTGAACACTTATTTTATTGGTCTCACTGTTTATCATGAGTCAGAAAGTGCTCTGACTGGGCACTCCTCCTTCTCCCACCCTTCCCCAATGCAAGCACTCATACTCATACCAAGGGTGCTGTCTAGAGCTTCAAAAAAGATGTTGGCCCAAAAAAAAACAAGAGAGAAGAGTAAGTAAGAAATGGCAGGAGAATGAGTTGGAGAGTGGAAGTGGCCCGTGAAATACGCAGGGGAAGCTAGTGACACATATAACTGTGAAATGTTGGAGTGAACTTTTTCCCTCCGGGGGAATTGTTTTGACAGGTGGAGCGATCATCCTGAATACCCATTTCATGATGAATACTGACTTGAGAGAGTTCCTGAACATATTTTTCCCTGTGCCAGGACCTAGGAGTGGAGTTCCCACAGATGTGAAAATGAAAGAGGTTTAACTGTCAATAGATGAAGTGGTGATGGAAGCATTCTTAACTTCTGTGTAGTGGAAGTGACTTTGACTCACACACATTGAAAAAAAATTTAAATCTGTCAAAATAATTCTTAGGAAATTATCAGCTAGCATTTTGTTAGATCAGTTGCCTTCTAGGTTCCAGACAGAAAACCATTAAACTTCACAAAAGACTTCAAAGGCAACATATGATGACAAGTAATCCATGTATCTGGATAGCACCATTGGTAGTCTAAGTTCTTCAGCAGTTAACAGTACAGCAAAGAGAATGGAGAGCCAGTGTGTGCCAGGGTGCTGGCAGTGGCTTTGAGAACTTGGACCACTGAATGTAAAACAGACACAGCAAAGAAAAGATCCACACATGCATTTTTAACAAGGAAGTGATTTACTGTACCTTGAGCAAAGAGAGAGGTCTAAGTGCAGAAAATTCTTAAAATAAAGCTAATTAAACACCACAAAGGTCAGCACAGTCATCATGATTTTGTTGTTGTTTGTTTCCATTCAATGTATGTTTGTTTAGCTTTTACCCAGCTTGAAGGATCTCTTGCATCTTCAAAGGGCCTCAGTGTCAATATAGCAGGGAATCCACTCTCATCACTTTTGCGCACACTGGTTATAGAACAACCATTATGCGAAGTGGCTTAAAACAACCAACATACACAAACAGAACCCTGCACCCTAAAATAGTCCAAAGACAGCTACTTTTTAAGAAGGCATTTAAATAGGAAACTTAGGAGACGTTTTGCAATAAAAGGCCTTATAGAATTATTATACTTAAGACTTTAGGAGTGTTATTGGGATAGATATGTGAATTTTTAGAAAGCAGCAAGTTCAAAAGAACATGAGTAATTTTACTGTGTATGCATTTTTAAAGAGTGAATAAGATTAGTAAATTAATTATTCTACAATATTTATCTTTAAAAAAGATTATGTAATTTGGCAATAGAGGTTTGCCTATTTCAGTTCAACTAAAGAAACATATTTTATTCATTCACATTAGTAAATACACTCTCACAGGGTGATGGGGATCTACAAAAGCTATGTTTTTTCAAGACCAATTGCTTATATGCATTTCTGATAAATTATCACTTAAAAAATTTTGATCTATACTGATTGTTTTCCCTGATTCCACTATCAATACTTATAATGCTGTTCTCTGGAAAATATTTTGTTTACAAGAAATAAAGTATGATGATTTATTCTATCACATGAATCTCCATTCTGTTTCTAAGGTGGGGGGGAGAGGAAGAATCATTTGAATCCAATTCAATTAAAAGGCCTGTGATTTAATTCCTGCTATACATTTAGCACTGAGAAGGTAAGAAAGAAAAAGGGGTACCATAATGAAAGAACAGAAACTTAAGTCCTGCTGGTTCTTATTGCCAGAGTCCTCTAAAATACTTCGAAGGGGCTAGTATGATGGTGGGAATAGAGACAACATTTATCCACGCATCTTTGTTATTTATTTATTTATTTATTTATTTATTTTTGAGGCAGAATCTCACTCTATTGCTCAGGTTGGAGCACAGTCTCCATCACCTGGGGTCAGGCATTCCTTCCACCTCAGCCTGCTGAATAGCTGGGACTACAGGCAAATGTCACTATGCCCAGCTAATTTGTTTATTTATTTATTTATTTTTGGTAGAGATGAGGTCTTGCTATGTTTGCCCAAGTGAATCTCAAACTCCTGGGCTGAAGTAATTCTCCCACTTTGGCTCCCCAAAATGCTGGGGGCCAAAGCATGCCCCGCCCAAAGCATTTTTGAATGCATCTCACAATTTGGAAAATGTCTCATAATGTGTTAGCAAGAAAGGTATTTCTAAAAATTGGAGAAGAATCTTCTCTTGCTCCAACAGAGTTGGAAAAGAGAGGCAGAAAATAGAAAGGTCAGGGAAGAATAACAGTCTGATGTGAGCTTCTGCATATCCCTTCTCCCTCTGCTCTCACCCCTCTCAAGATTTCCTTCTGTTATGGGTTGAATTGTGTCCTCCCTATGCTGAAGTCTCAGACCCCAGTACCTCAGAATGTAACCTTAATTGAAGATAGGGCCCTGCATGGGGGCTCACACCTGTAATCCCAGCAACTTGGGAGGTTGAGGAGGGAAGAGTGCTTAAGCCCAGGAGATTGAGACTAGCCTGGGTAGCATAGTAAAACCCTGTCTCTAAAAAATAAAAACTAAAAATAATAGCTGGGTATGATGGCTTTCACCGGTAGTCCCAGCTACTCAGGAGGATGAAGAGGAAGAATCCCTTGAGTCCAAGAGTTCAAGGCTGCAGTGAGCTATGATTGTGCCACTGCAATTCAGCCTGGGGAACAGATCAAAACCTCAACTCCTTTAAAAAAAATTTTTAAATAAGGTTATTACATATGTCGTTAATTAAGTTAAGATGAGGTCATACTGGAGTAGGGTGGAATAGGGTGAGCCCTCATCCAATATGACTGGCGTCCTCATAAGAAAGAAAGTTTGGACACAAACAACACACAGGGAGAACACCATGTGAACGTGAAGGCAGGGATCAGGGTGATGCTTCTACAAACCAAGACACCGAAGATTGCCAGCAACCACCAGGAACCAGGCAAAAGGCATGGAGCAAATTCTATCTCAGCCCTCAGAAGGGATCAACACTACTGACACCTTTGCCATGTGTAGGGCTTGGTACGGCCGGTGTTGCTGGGTGAAAGAATTCTCCAAGACAGTTATGAATTAAGTAAAGGTAGATTTATTAAAGGGAAGATTCATTGTGAGGAGCACAACAGGCAGAGCAGCAGAGAGAGTGCTTGCTATCTGTGCTGAAATCACAATTCTTCCCAGTGGAGTTTGACAGAAGTAGCAAGGACTTCCTGCCCCAGCCCACATAATGTTTATTGATCTGCTTATTACTGACCATTTTCCAGGAGATCCTCCATTTGGCAATGTCATCCATAGATATTGAAACAACACCAGGAGAGGCCATCCAAGGGGCATAATCAGCGATTCCATGTCTTCAGCCTTCAACACTTTGAGGTGTGCACATACTGAGGTCACAGTCATGGGATTGACAATGCTTGAAAAAATTTACATTTCCAACACTTGGTATTTCTCAGAACTCTCAACATTTCAGGCTTCCGCTGGTAACTTCAATGTCTGATCCTTGAATGTGAACACTCTCTAAACCTGAATGGTATCTTGATGTCTCTGCCTCTAGACACCAACTCCCCAAATTCTCACTAACTACTTCCATCCTAGTTTCTGCCTCCCATTCATAAGAAAAAGGGTGAGAGGGTGATGTCCAGCTAATAGGCTTACCCTCTTACCCCCAAAGGGCATTGGGTAAAAGGTTTTTTATGAGAGGGAAGGTAATAGTTCCTCTGGTAGGAGCTATACTGTGTAGGGGCTTCCCCTGTCTCTGGACTCCTCAGGATCCCAGCTTGAGCTCAGGCTGCCCTTCCTGCATTTACTAAGACTGACTGACTTGGGGCAGAATTCTCCTTTTTCAAGGCACGTTATTTGCTCAAAGCAGATCACACATTCTCTTAATAATGCCACTTTATCTTCCTTCTTTGGCTTTGGCACCCTCTGCTTGAACCAAAGTGTGCTTTCTTTGTGGACTTACCTGAAGCATCCAAACCAAATCTACCCCAGCAGGAAAACTTGAGTCTTGGTAGGCGTATGGTCCAAGTTCCAAAATGTAAGAGTTTAACCTCTTGTGTTAAAAGACCATCAAAGACCTCTAGACCCCCATTGAGGAGTAGACCCCCCGTTGTGGGTCAGCCAAATTCACTGAGTGGATACCAAATTTCAGGAGTGTTCACGGCCATTCCCACTTCCAGGTAGCTATTTTTCCATCAGGGTTTTTCTGTCCGCTAGTGACAGAAACTCAGCTCAGACTAGTTTAAGCAGAGTGAATTCAACTTGTCCCAAAACTGGAAACACGGAAGTTCAGGAGTAAAGTGATTTTAAGCAGCTAGAACTAGGGCTGAGATTATCGTGCACAACTTTTGACTGTTGTTTCTACCCCTTGGATTAGCGGTCTTCAGACAGCAGGCAAGAGAGCTCTCAGCAACTTTGAGCCTTCCTGCAACTAGACTAGGAACACAGCAGAAAGCGCAGGCTTTGGTAAGAGCTCTGCCAAAGCCGCCGTCCTGGGAAGAACGCTGATTGGTCAGCAGGCGGCATGCTTGAGCCAACCACCATGGCCTGGGGCTATCGAGGGGAGGGGACTGAGATGTGGACTCATCCTAGTGGCCGAGAAGTAGAGCGTCAGGAAGGGGAAGGGAAGGCAAGAAGAAAGCCGCAGCAGGAGCTTAGGGGAGCAAGGACTCACAAGGAATTACAATCGCCAGGAACTAGCTCCTACAAGGAAAGGAAAAGGAGGCTGAGCAGACAGAATAAGAGATATTCACAACAGGGACCCTCAGAACGTGAAAAAAAATAAAGTTTAAAAGTTGTGGGTTCATCATAACCCACTACCTTAAAATATTTATATACGGAGACATTCTGCACCGGGAGTCGTCGCGGTTTCCTGCTTCAACAGTGCTTGGACAGAACTGGCGCTCGTCTCCCGCCCCAGCCGGCCACCGCCTCCCCGCGCCTCCC